AATGGCAAAAACAGAGCCGAAAAAACTGTACAGCCCTGCACAAGGCCCCGCGGCTAAGATGAGAAAAAAGGAAGAGAGAAACGGAAGGATGTGTAGTGTTTGGTCTGTGCATGGTGATCCTGGCTACGTGCATATTTTCGCATCCGGCCCTCCCACTCAGTCGATAAGTACAGGATGTTTCCTTTAAGTCGGCTCGATAATGTTTCAAGTCGACGTACACTTGAATTTTATTCGTAAAGGCTAATTTTTCACTTAAGGTCGGCTCGCTAATGTAACAATTTCACGCACATTTGCATTTTAATGATTTAGGGTAATTTAACAAAGTAAAAACACTCTGTCTTATGCAACAGGTAAAATTGTGAGCGGAACTTTAATCATTTTCAGTCCCCGGAGGTAAAATGAGAGATTTCTTAGTTCTGCTTCTTCTTCTTCTTCTTCTTCTTCTTCTTCGACGTCTTCTCATTTATTTCCTTGGCTATTTTTGACCAGGCAACTTCGATTGTACAAGAAAAAAGTTGTAGTTTTTATTTATTTCAGCTGTACAAATTACCTCAGAACATGTATAATCAAGTCATTTTTTTCTTTTGTTTCCTGAATGTTCAAAGTTGAGAAATCGAATTTGGATCCTACTGGAAAAGTGCGAGAGTCACGTATGTCCGAAATGCTTAGGGTTGCAAAATCAGGTGTTTCAAAACACCGTGATAAGAAATCTAAATGCAACTGTGTAAGCAGTTTTGTTCCCTTTATAGTTATTTTCATACCTGTACTGACTCGGACAACAGCACATCACAGTGTGAACATTCATAACGAAACTTCAATAAGTGAGTTTGCGTGTAAAAAGCTTGAGAAAACGTTAATAATAATAATAATAATAATGATAATAAATGTGTGTAATTGTACTAGACTCTTTAGAGTTTACCTTTTTCTTACTGTGATAGTTGTAATAGTCGTGACATTAAAAATTCTGATTATTTTTTTACCCTACGTGACTTTCGTAATTACTTTGCAACAGAAGACAAATGTCTGCAGCTTGATTGAATGACACATTATTTATGTTTCGCGAAAGAGTTCTTTGAAGAGCAAATTTATAAAATTGTGCCCTTAAAAGCAAATTTTTTTAGTACATGTACGAGCTTTATCACGCACAAATTTATATCAGTTAGAACGTGCTATACACAAATATGCCAGCACACATATTCACCTGTTCACTAATTTTCAGAGCACTCGTCGATCCTAAAGGTCTCACTTTGTGGGTAACAGGTGCAGTTGTGTGAGCTGACTACACGCTGGCTTTACTCGTAAAAATATAATCTTCATATCAAGTTACATTTGTCTCCGAAATTATGCACCACATAAGGCCATTGTTCATTGCTTACGTCAAAAGCAGGCCATGGTTGTTGCTTTCTTTTTAAATCGAAGCTTTTGCCATAATTTTTTTATGGTGATTAATTTTGTGCTGCCTTCCTTTCGTGTTGCTGGCGGATCAAGTGGTGGCATGCTAAGTTAAATTACTACCAACAGAATCAGCAGAATTTCCACTGCTTTATCTGCTCTGTATCAATTATGTAGTAATTGGCCAAAATATATTGCATTAGAACTAATTTAAAGGAGGCCACGCAACGTATTTAGCGATGATAATAAGGCTTCAATAGAAGAGACGAAGACAATGGAGACTGCATAACTTTTACTCGTTTGGTTCTGTGGACTAAGTGTCGAATGTAATTAATTGTCTCCGGAAACTATTGCTTTTGATAATAGGTTAGCGTGTTTGGAGACGTGGTTCTTTTATTGGTTATGTGCCAGCTGGACAACCCTCTCATAATATATATTTTTTTAAATATTATTACGTACTTTTAGTTCGACCAATGGTTGCGGCTGCCACCTATATAAAAGCAGGAGCAATGGGATGCTCGAACAGTTTGAGCTATTAATTTTGAGCTGTTGGGTCTCCAGCTGTAGTAATGACAGCCAAATTGATTGTGTCGATTCTATTTCTTCTTCTTATCCTGGAAATTCTCCCAAAAAGATCTGAGGCCATTGCCAATGGACCAGGTCAGGCGTGTAAAGGCAATTCTGTACTGTGCGGGAAAACGGGGCTAATGGAGGACGATAAGGTACATACCTATAATACTATCCACGTTTTAGGCCTCTGTCTCTCATTGTCAATCGCTGTTGTTCTAGGACATTTAAACAAAAGACTGATAAAAGTGCAATTTTTAGGTTACGTAAATTTTTTTTTCCCTCAAGTATTCTTGTTGGGGAACAGAGCAAAATTTTCAAGATTTACCAATAGAAGCATCCGTTACTACTTTTGTTTTAATGGTCGATATTTTCCACCTTCCGTGATCACTCATCTTTTAATAAATTCTTCAGTCGAGTAGGAGTGCAATTTCGGTGCTTTGTTCCCCCAAATTAAAAAGCCTTTCTGGAACTGTTTTCTCGTCGAATATTGGTTTTATTTTCCAATCTTCTACCTTTTTTATTCCTATTTTTTTTATATAGGGCTTTCCAGAGGATGTCTTTGCCAAAACCAAACGCCGAATTTGTGATACTGCTCTGCGCATGGGCTGTGGCCAACCTGAACGTCTAAGTAGAAATAATCAGCATCAATGAAAAGAACTGTTTGTTTTTTCGAAAAAATAAATGTTAATTCCTGTATTAATACTTAATTCGTAGGGAATGATGTGTCAATTAAAGCTAAAACATTGCTGTCATGATGTTCGGAATGGAATTAGTTGAATTTTAAGGAGGCACTTTTCCGGAGCATAATGCGAGATAAGATATCTTCTCTTGAATGACTGTTCACTGTGCTAAAATAAGTCCTCATTTAGATTGATCAACACATCCTATCTAAGAAGAATAAGAGGTTACGTGGTGCTCCCGAAATAGTCTGGTCCTAAAATATTTTTAGCACGAGTGACGCAAGTTAGCGTGTTCTGCCCACACGTTCACCATCCTGTCCATTAAGAATAAACATAGCGGCTAGCCATTGGTTCGCGAGTGTGTTCCCAAATAGAATAGTATTATTTTAACAACCGTATGTTAGAAGAAAAAAAAAAACAGTTGTTCCATGGATTAGGAAAAAAATAATTCCTTGCTGAGGAATAGTGAATGACCTGCGTTACTTTCGCACATTTGCAGTTCTCTCTTTCTTTCTCTCCCTCTCTCTCTCCCTCACTTCCCTTTCATGGATAACAATTATTCAAATTTTTACTCCCAAGCGTACGTCTACTCCTTGTGTTCTCGAAAAAAATAAATTTTTCCTGTTTTTCAAAAGAGAGATGTTTTCCAATTAGTCAGCACTCTTCGCTTAGCACAAACAAAACCTTGAAAACAACGATAAATAGTTACTTCCTGAAAACTTTCCTTTCGGCAGAAGACAGGTAACATTTTAATTGTTGCCAAATTTGAATGTCAACTTGTGGCATTCCCACATATATAAATATTATACCTCGCGTAAACCAATATACGAGTGTTGCATATCAAATTCAGCCGAGACATATCCATCCCGTGAAAGCAGAATATCAGTCATTCAATTTTTTTTTTGTTAATCAAAGCCTAATATCTCTTCTAAGTACATTTCTGTGTCCACATATAAATTTTCCCTAGTAGTCAGCGTTGTAAAAGCTAAGGTCCTATTTGGACTGCTAATAAGTAAATTAAAATCTTACATTTTTCAAGTTAAAGTTTTCACTCCATAGTAAGCTACAAGATTCTTTTGCTAGGTAATAAAGCTGTAGTAGGCTCACATCACGAATCGTTAATTACATAACAATTCTTTATATCCTGCCTTTATGATGTAATTATCGTTCATCAAAAATGACGTTTAGACCAGCTGGATCCAGTGCAATAAAAGCATCATATTTCCTAAAAACAAAGTGTTTTGAAGGTCGATTTTCGCCAGAATATTTACAGTAGTCTCTCGGTTTTTCGGCTTTTCGGTTTGAAAATTCGACCAAACGAGTGTTGTTATTTGATCTAAAGAAAAAGTCTTAAAGAGATTGGAAGACACGATAAGCGCATCGCAAGCGCTGCAGGGTCAATTGAAAGAACGATCGAAACCCGTCAGTAAAATTGCTGTTACGGGAAATTGCGGGTTTTCGAGGAGAAAATGCGACCAAACGGAGGTTGTTGCGTTATGAGAACTCGCAAATTGCTTTAATCAGATGGCCAAAGAAGCATTTATCAGGGGTGTTTTATTCCTGTTCAAGTAAAAGTTAGGGGAGACATTTGTTAGTAACGACGCCTCTTTTATTCAAAACCGCCTTTATTATTCACGATTCGTATATCCAACACGTTCGAACCTACCGGAATTGTGCCGGCTGCGGAAACCGTTGATAAAAGGCAACTTGGAATTGAATCTTTACGTGGAGATAGTGACTATATTTTAATAAAAGAAGAGGTTGGACTAGCACCCACGATAAAAATCGATAACAGATTCAGCAGCTTGGGATAAAAATTTATTTGCTTGTTACTAAACCCCATAATAATACAGCTTTACGTCTGAAATATCTAAAACAATGCAAAATGATTAACCTCAAATTTGCTATGGAACGACTTTAACCAATGATTAAAAAGAAATTCAACATTTAAAAAATTATATTTATCGTGGTGTAACGCGATATTGGATTCCCGGGAGCTTTATTAAACTGTGTAAATATCGATTATTTTCATCACGAAGAGCAGACATCACGTGAACAAAGCTGTATGGAAAAAAAGAGTTATCGCGCAAATTCCAGCAGTTAAGGTGAGAGTACACCCAAACTTCACTGAAAAATTCTACTTTTTTTTTTACTGGGATTTTGCATCTTTACTTTTTAAAGCCAATAGCACAGAAAAGAAATGATGCTTTCATGATCACATTCTGTCACAGAAAACTCAATATTTCGATCTTTTAGGTTGAAAAACCTCCCTCTGCATATACTCATCATCTGAATTCAGTAAATTTACAATACACTTACATGTATCAACTACTTTTTTCGAAAGAAAAAGATCCTATTTTCTTTTTAAAAGCCGCTAAAGCCTTAACTGGGGGCAAAGCATATTTATAAACCATGGATAAAGGTAATTGCTTTCTTTTCGTCATTTTTACCTTTCTATAATGATCTATGTTGGCATTCTGTTACTGGAAAAATGCTCCATAACGTGCTTATGATTTAAGTTTAGTTGCTGAAAGAAGGGTTTAATATTTCTTCTGCCTTTGCGAAGCTGTTAGGCTTATATCATCCGTTTTACGGTGAGAGGAACGCTGATTTCTTCGAACAGAATCACGATTATTTTGCCCTAGAAAGGCTTTTTTCAAGCCTTGACGAAAATTTTGATTGAAAATAAAATACAGGAAGGGACTTATGCAGCCATTTGAATAAGCGATAAAAATAACCCAAAAAAATAATAAGCGTTCATAGCAAGGAGCATTGTTGGGACCCCAGTGAAAGATAAGGATGTAAACTGATACGTTGACAGGCAGCCAGCAACAGATGAAGACGACTACAACTACCACAACCATCTTTAAAACGCTGCGGTTACGTCTAGCGACCCTTTTCTTGTCTTTGAGAGACTGGTTGCCTGGGAACTTTTGCCGTCGTAGTGTGTTGATAATTATACTGTATACAATTATCAAAATGGCCGCAGGAAAGAAGAATAATATGGTTGATAGAAATAAAAAGTAGAACTTAGACGCTTTAGCATGATCAGTGAGTGGATACCAATTGTACCTGCAAAACTTATCGTCGACGAGTTTGTAAGCGTAAAAGTAGGGTAGGTGGAGCAATGCTCCCAAACACCAAGTTGCTGCTAAGGAAAGCCTTCGAACTCGTTTTCCACTCATGAGACCGGCTTTCATTGGGAACACCACGCCATAAAATCGGTCAACAGCGATGGCTACCAAGCTGAGAATGGATACGGCTGTCGACACATCTTGAATGAAGTGGTCGATCTTGCAGAGCATTGAGCCCACCATCCCGCCGATGAGCCATCTGTCAGGCATATCTAGCTGTAATATGAGGCGAGGAATCACAAAAATGGCGAAAAGGATATCAGATGCTGACATGTTTACTATGAAGTAATTTATGGTCGATCGCATGTTGCGGTTCTTGAAAATGACAAAAATAACAACGGAGTTTCCGCACAGAGAACCGAATGCAATGAAACAATAGGCAAATGTTTTCCATGTTATGTCAGTTGACGAGTGTTCAGGTAAACCACAAGCATTCGACACGTTACTCGTGGTGTCATTGGCAGACATCTTTGGTTACAAATAGCCTCTTATTCTGGAGATTTTCGAAGAGGAATATCAGAAGTTCTTGACAGAGAGGAACAGAAGCCTCACCAATCCCAAAGCTGCTAATATTACTAACAGCGATTCCTCTTAAATGCTTGGGTTTTCTGCCAAAGATAAAAATAGCACTTTTCATTAGCTCACTGAAAGTAATTAAAATTCGCAATCTGTAGTTATTCATCATCCGACGCAATCAGCCGACACAAATGTACTAACGTCGTGAAAAGCCATACATTCGCTGTGCGATCCCCGTAAACAGAGTGAATTGGTTTTTTTTTCAAGACTGGCCAAAGTTTGGTTTCGTTCACTTGGGAGCCAATAAAGGAACTGGTGAAATTAACATCAAATAAACGTGTTGAACAATAATTTGTTAAACTGTGCATAACTCAGAGGATCAAAACTTGACATCTATGCTGAGTAACTCAAATAGAAAATTCGGAAACTTTGAGCAATAAACAAACTTGAAAAGACTGAATGACACTTTGTGACCTAATTGATGCGCTCACAAAATTTCGAGGAATGCTAAGAGGTTTTTCTTTTACAGTAATTCAATGTTATCTCAAATGTGAACGATTGATCTTCCTTTCTGCCAAAAACTGTTTCCTCCTATCCGGAACTTTCGCTATGTAATTGATTTAAACAATTAATTTCACAGCAATAAAGGAACTATTGTTGCATTAGTAAAATAAACGAAACACTGAAAATAACCGGCTATTTCGAAAAAGCAATTCTACAGCATTTAAGGTCACAGAGATGCCTTGAGAGCATTACTTCCATATTTCATATCTTCCCTGACTGTCCGTCAGTACCATATCGCTTTTAGTCAATACTGATGCTACAACGTTGGAAGTTGTTCGAGGACAGCTTATTACAATCGTCAAATTAAAAATGTCTTTCGCGAGTGCGATGGTTATTGATGATAAGTCTTACTTGTAGAAACTTTGCAAGAATTCGTCACTCTTCTTGACGTTCACAAACCGTCGTTTGCTTGAGGAAAAGTTCTATTCAAGTGAAAATTGGCGTTTTGAAAAGTTAGATAGAGAATGCTATCGATACCTCATTCAAAGGGAGGGCAGACACATCAAAGCTTTAATTTGTAGCGTCTCACTATTGTGTTTATTGACATATTTTCCTGTCCAAACAGTGCAGTTATCGATAAATTTCAATAAAATGTGTTAAGCGACTACAAATAAGGGTCAACATGGAGATTTGAAAGCGCATAGCTGTTCCATTTTTACGATTTTGAATAATTTTTGGAAACAAAGGTTTTGTTTTATGTAATAGAAACATTACATCTATCTCTTGATAGCCATTTCTCCTTGATCTTGGACTATGAGAAATTAAAATCGTCACGTTTTAACAACAAAAACCAAAACAAAGAAAAACGAAGGAAACAAAATAGTAAAGGAGAAAGTTTCCATAGTAACTGTGGTATTGCGTCGCTGAAGAAACAACAATATAACAATGGACATCGAAAATACTTTTTTTAAAGCGTACCTTTTGAACGTCAGCCCTCCGTCAGAGTGAAGGGAAACAAGATCAAAGATGGCTCAAAAGCTCCTAATAGTGTACGGTCGTTGTAAGAAAAGCGCCATTTAACAAGAAGTCCGAATACGTAAGTTTACCTTACGTCCAGATCCACTTTTGAATTTTCTAAGAATGCTGATGCTTTTTAATGATAAAAATAATTACTTTTATGTCATCGAACAAAGACAATGTTTTTTGCGTACCGATCCTATGTTGATTGTTGGTCAAAATAAATAATTGCGTTTGGATGCAAGCCTCGTTACTCTTTTTGCTGTCATTTTCACTTTTCGTATAAAGGCGTTAAAAATTTTTTTATAGAGGTTTAATTGCATATCAGTTAAGTGAAGATTTTAAATTACAAGTTTTTGGGATCAATTTTTTTCTTATCTTAAGCACACCAAAACTAGGTAAACACAGATAAGAGATGAGAGAATATCATGCGAGAAAGCACCTGGGGCCCAAAATATCGCTTTTACTTCGTTACCTTCGGATTCATTACTCAAATCGTCTCTTGGGATATCGAAAAGCATTTGAATTCTAAGGATAACTCCAACACTGACTTATTGGCATAAAGCAACGCAGATCTAGAATTGATAATCTTGTAAGTGTAGATGAGCAAATAAAAACAAAATAACGGCAGATAAATACGTGACGGAATAGAAAATCAAGAACGAATTTTCCTTACCTTTTTTTGTTAAACGAACGATGGAAAGGTCTTTGTATTTTATGAAAAGTGAATTAGTTTCGAAATAAACTGCCCAATCTGCTTGGACTCTATAACATTTCAGCAGTACGGGTAGTGGTGCACAAAATGGCAAATTAGCATTGGCTAATGGGTGAATTTCTTTGGAAAATCACTCGAAAACCAATACCGTTCCCGTGCATTTCAGAATGAAAACTATGAAAAATTAACTCTTTAACTAAAATAACTTGGCACTTATCATTGTTTCACGTCACCATTCGCCCCAATTCCTTTCCTTAAAGTGAGTGGAGTAAAAAGTAAAAAAATAAGGTTTCAAATAAACTATAAAAGCAGCCGCGATATATGTATCATTATTCAAAGCCTTCAATATTTTTTTCGATAACCCTGGAAATAATAAGAAATGATAAAAGAAAGAAACATCGAATTTTCCCAAGATATAGTCTCTTAAAATTTTGAGTAGAATTTCTTTGTCGTCGCAAAATAAGGTCAGATTCGTATTGGGGTGGTTAGGTAATTTCCTAGAGACTGTCATTACTTTTCTTGTTTGACTTTGTTGGTATCCTGTTGACATCTGATTCGTAGCACTGTTTTCATCCTTTCTGTATCCGAGTAATGTTAAATTATGAAATTATTACTGTTACGAGTAGTTGTCTTTTGTTGTATGATTTAGTTGGTCAGTGTTCACAGCCCTTTGTAATTCAGCTAATGTAAAAAACGCGAAATGAGTCTTGTTACAAGTAGCACTCGTTTGTTCTATGATTTTTGGTTAGTATGCTCTTATCGCGTCTTCGATTCGTGGCTTGCTCAGCTACTTTTCAAATAACACTGTCGAAACATTACCTTTTCATATGAGTTTGTTAGTTGACTTTGATCGACAACTCAACTCGACCCATAAAAAGGAACACTTTTCCTGAATTCTGAGTACGAGTAAAACATTTTGTTTTTACTTTCATTGATTGAACCTTCATATAATACTCGAGTTATGGTAATCCTCGAGTTAGAGATCCTATCACATCTTTTTTTTTTTTCGTTTTAAAGTGAGTAGAATCAAACGACTTCCCACCCGTCTAATGATGCGTTTTATACCGTTATAAATCATAATCAAGACTTTTTCATTTGTAACTGGGATGAATGAAATAAAGTTAAAACGCATTTTGGACTTTGTTCTGATTCATGGAAGACATAATGCATTGCATCTGGTGATTTCTTGAATTATAGAAATAAAAAGAACTTTAAATTGCATAAAATAAATTATGTTTATTGAGTCACACTTATCTGTCATCTGTATTTACCCATATTTCCTCATTTAAATTTGTAAGGCACTATTGTTTGCTTATAGATATTGATCTTCTTTTAAAATGAAATTCACATTTAAAAAAGTGTTGCTTTCAACCTGTTAATATTAAGATCTATTGTAGCAGTGGCAAAAAGTGGCAGAAGTTTTCCCCTATCCGTGAGCAAGATTTCTCCAATTTCCTTCGAAACTGAAATAATCAAGGCAACCAGATAAAAAAAGTGTTCGGCGATTAGTAGAAAAACTAATTGCTATTTGATCAAACATTTTCACCGCTCAATATAAATTCAGCAGGATTCGACCACCCGGGAAATTGTCGATCAGCAACGTGTTTTGTGAAGTAAGACGTTCGTGCACGGTGTTTGTAACGAACCAAGATGGATATCGATCAAAATATTTCGTCCCCTCTTAATTCATCTAACGAGAAATGCGACTCGGACTCTTTTCATTTGGATAACGAGGCTAAGCTTGGCCAAAGTTTGACATATGCTGCTATACTCGTTTTCAGCTTCGTTGGAAACTCTCTCATCGCGATAGTTTGTTACAGGGAGAAGAACTTGCGCACTACAGTAGACTTCTTTATTCTCAACATGGCGTGCTCCGACATTCTGTTTGCCATAACAGTCGTACCTCGCAGGATAACAGAAACACTCTCCGCCCCGTTTGAATGGCATATCAATGGATTCCTTGGAGAAGTACTTTGCAGGATGACACACACCGTCCAAGACGTGTCCACTGCTGTTTCCATTGAAAGTTTAGTCGTAATAGCTTTTGATAGATTTCGATCGATCATGTTCCCTTTGAGAACCAACATTGTCACGCCTTCGATAAGGAAGATCTTCATTGTCCTTACTTGGGTTGTGGGATTTGGATTCCACGCACCTTACATATATGCCTGGCGCCTATCCTCTCATGAAAATAAGACGTTTTGTATCTACAGCTGGGGACCGTTTTATGAACAGGATAATGCTAGCAAGGAATATTTCCTTGTGTTGTCTTTTTTTTTATTCATTCTCCCTATGGTAACGATGATTATTCTATATTCTCTCGTCATTTCTAAATTACGACAGCGCAAAGTGCAGGTAATTAATCATTCAAGCATCCAGAAGAACTCTTGGAACAGGCGCACTAGGAATGTTCTCAGAACTGTCATTGCTGTTGTTGTTGTTTTCGCTTTGTCCTGGCTTCCATTCAATATTTCCATCTACCTGATTCTCTTCTACTGGGATCTTAACCCGTCATGTGTTGCAAGAACCATGGTTAGGTTCATCGTCATCTTCGCTCACGCGAATAACGCCATCAACCCGTACGTCATCTTTGGTTTTAGCACAAATTATCGAAGTGGATTGAAGGCCTTATTTTGCTCTTTGAAGATGAGAACTCGAGTAAAACGAACAAAGGCAGTTGCCATGTTCGATTTGAACAAAATATCGGAAATTAATCTGGGCCGCCCCGATGGAAATCCACCTGAAACTAATCTCCATTATGAGTACATGGATAAGCTTTAAGCCGGACCGTTTTCGAAATCATTCTTGTTTTAAATTTAATCAGCATAAAATTAAATCTATACATAAATTTTTGTT